TGATCGAAGTGGTCTGACTCCTCCGGATAATGACAAGGCTAGGATATTTTCAAGATATTTATGGGGAAAAAGACAAAAGTGGTTGGTATGCGTACAGCTGTGGATAAGATCAATCATTTGAATAGGACAAAATAGGGTTCGATCGATCGAAGGTGATGTTCGATCGATCGAACTTGGAATTTCAGCAAAGGCCAAGATTGGATCTATCGAGAAGTACTGTGATCGATCATAGATGTTCGATCGATCGAACTCTAAGTTGGATCGATTGAACTTTTCAGCTGCACAACTTGATTCCTTTTTGCTCCTTTCTTTCTCCACTTTGCTCCCTCCTTTGGTTTATCTCAGGATTGCTTCAATTAAGCTCTTATTTGGCTGAGTTAGCTCAATTTTGGGATTAGTGCCTGAAAATATAAATAACACGTAATAAGTCTAAAACGGCAAAGTAAGATAGATAAATGTACTAGAATGCTTAAGCTTAACGGGTTTAAATGCGCACTTTTCAGTGCTCATCATAGCCCTCCGCCTTCTTCTTCCTTTGGCCGTGATTCACAGCCTTCCTTCTTCCTTTCTCAAACTCTCGGTTTCTCTCTCTCCCTTTAAACTCACGTCCCAGCCCTTTAAGTCGACATACATAATATATATAGACTATACAATAAAATATTAATCCTAGTTAAATAACAAGTTGCCAAAGAGAAAATAAAAAAGGAAAATAAAATAACTCATATAGTAGTTATATTGTTAATATAATCTGACTATATACATATACACCATAAAATATATATCTATATATGTGTAAAACTAATCCTTCCTTAATTATTAATAACTATAATAATATTTATAACAATAATATATATATATATATATATATATATTACAACCATTTATATCCATATATATATATATATATGACTTAATCCTCCATGCATACCATAAAAATTATAATTCAGTATATACATATATATTTATATATACCTAAATATATAAATACTCCATCCATTATTATTAATAATAATATTTATAATACTAATAATAAGAATATCCACATATATATAAATATATATACTCAAAGAATATAAATATATATATATATATATATATATATCCAATGCCCATGGGTCGTAATCCTACCCATTTAGGCTCCTATCCAAGCAGTTCATGTGACCCATCTAGTTGGTCCATTACTACTATCCAAATCCATCCTTTTAAATTAAAAGTAAAAATAAAATAATTATTCATTTAACTAATATATAATTACAAACAAGTACACAATTAAGTCACATATATCACATCACACAAATACATACAAACAAAACCCACATTACACATCAAACAATTAAATCATTTAAGTACATAATTTAATTTAAACAATTAATTTAATTAAACACATAAACACATAGACACATAACCACATAATTAAATAAAATTAAATCCCATTTTTATCCTTTTAAATATTAAGGTATTACACTTTTCAAAAGAGAGAACAAAAGGTGTACGGGCCTTGGAGGTTTAGGTTACATATAATGCAGAGGGTGCCAGGAGCCTTTGAATTGCCTAGTCATTGGCATTTGTTGCAAAAAAAAACCACTTTTGCACTGCTTGTTGTGTGTGACTATAAATTAAACAAATTAGTACAAAATAAAGCATCAACAGAGCAGGAATTAAAAGAGATTTAAAATTTGGGAACTCTTGAACTATTTCATGGTTGTAGAAGATTTTTGTTCCACTAGATAGATTAGAGGATAAGGAATTGATTGATATAGGTTTTGTGTTGAAAGAGTGGCGGATGATTACCGGAAAAAAGGATGAAAGTTTTTGTGTTAACAGAGGTTAGGAATGGGTTTACAGGTTGGTGAAGATGAAGAGGGGAAGAGGATGACATAGCTAATTAAGGAAATTTTTAGAAGGATAAAAGGGCAAAACGAACATATTATAATTACTTTATGTCACTTTTCGGAGAAAAAAAAATGATTTGAGTGGGGTTTTCAAACAATTTTAAAAATAAGGATATTTATAGCACATTTTGAAAAATAAAGGGTGAATGTGCTATGCGAATTAAGTATACTTTAAGGGTGTTCTTCGCACTTAACCCATTAATAAACCTTAGCAGTGAGAATATACTAAAACTTATTAGAGTTACTAACAAACTTGCATTCATGGTTTTTTATTTCGATAAATAATTTGCAACTTTATCGCTTTTAAGTTAAAATTCATAAGTGGAAGTTAGTTCATTGAGAATGAATGACCTACACTAATCCTGTAACAGAGAATTATACGTACACATAAAATCAGAATGACAATTTTACCTAAGGATTGACTCTAGAGGGAGGGGAGGTGAATATAGTCTATGACAAATAATTAATTGTCAATTTTCTGGATTAAAAGATTTAAACAAGAATATGCAATATCTATATAAATTGTGCAATGACCAATATATGAAAGTAATCAATATAAGCACAATTTAAATGAGATAAGGGAAGAGAAATTCAAACACAATTGACATGCCAATTTAGCCAGTTCGGAACTCTTACTCATCAACTCAAGATCCCTCTCGAGGCTTTCCCAAATCCACCATAGCTTCTCCTTTCGAGTGGAGAGCAAACATTTACAAGAAGAAAACGTGTTTCTCCTTCCTTCTTACTAAGATAACATCCTTCTCTTAGACTTCCTTTGGGTCAAACCAACCCCTACAAATAATTTGGTAGAAAGTTTGAAGTACAAAGATTTATATCTCTCTCAACAAATTGATGTTCAAATCATAGCTCACAAGACTATTTTATGAATCGAGTTGAAGCTCAAGTCTATGAAGTGAAATGAATGAGAGAATGAAGATTGTATTGAATGCTCAAATGATATCTCTAATTACTCATAAATGGTTCACACTTGTTGTATATTCGTTCATAAATGCATAACCCTTTATATAGAGAGTTTTGGCCAGAAAATAGTTGTTATGAGTAGTTAAGATTGCATTTAATGCAAATATAGTTGTTAAGATTCAAATCCTACATGAACTAGTTAGCTGGTTTAGAGTGTCAGTCAGATGATACTTTATACCAATTGGCTAATAGCTTATATTAGTCGGTTGAATAAACTACACTCCTAAACTCCATTTTATTATATGCAAATCGGTAGCGTGGTTGAATCCAACTAGTTGGCTGGTTGAACTTAGATTTCAAAAACAAGCCTTTTAAGAGTTTCTAAGTTCTTGGAGGTAGCTTAGGTCATTGTATATATTCTAATAAAGTTAAAGATCCATTTAGGGGAGGAAACCAAGTCACAGTGTTTGGCTGATTTGAGTTAACTAACTGAGATTGAGGAGATCGATGATTTCAACATTAAACCAGAAAACCCCCAAAATTGAACTTCAGCAACATAGGCTATATATTTTGCTTCCTACCACAGATTATTAACTAAAAAGCCAAGCGTTTTGCACTTTCCAAATTTTCAAACAAGGTTGCTTAAGAATTAAAATGTGAAATATGATTGTATGTGCATGATCCTATAGAAGTGAGCTTCAAAATAAGATTAAAAAATACTTTGGTAATGAATCATAAGTACTCACCAACCTATATACCCCATTTTTCAAGCTTTGGCATTGATCTTTGAGGTTTGAGGCTTCTTCTTTGCTCTTTGAGTTGCATTCTTATCCTTTGAGTTGAATTCTTGATCATTGAGGTCCAAGTCAACTTTGAATACTAGATGTTTTTCAATTTCAAGTCATTTCCATGTTCATTGCTTCACCATAGATGTCCCCATCTGTATTGGAATGTGACATGGATCATCTTTGCTTCAGTGGGGGCTATTTTGGAAATATTATCATATCTAGTACAACACTTAATGTAAATATTAGTGCCTACTTAAATACCATTAATGGTTTGTAATCATCAAAATTACTAGATTGTGCTTAGGTCAACACATAGCAATCAAATTCGTGAATCACTTTCACAAGTTACCAGATTGGGTGTTTCTCAATTTAAAAACCCTTAATGAAAGAGACAAAGCAATTAATGATAGTATTAAACTTCAGTGACAGAACGACGTCCCCGGTAGATCTGGTGAAATAGAGGAGTGCGATGGCGACCAGAATGGGTGCATTGGTGAGAGGTTCGAGAGAGATGGAGATAATGTCTTCAATGTCAGAGAGAGAGGAAGGGAAGGGGGGGTTCAAATCTAGTGAGAGAGAGATAAAGAACGCTATTTCTAAGAGAGAAATAGTAAAGAAGAGAGAGAAATGGCTGGAGGGTTAGTAAAATTAGTGGAAGGGTAGTTAGATCATTTTGCAACATAAAAAAAACAATTTGGGCATCAATTTAAAATCAATATTTTTTCATATTCACGTCAACATTTTGAGAAAATACATTTTAAAAAAATTTCAAGACTTTGACTTCATGTAATTGTAAATGACGCTCTAAAAATCCATGTATATTTAATTTTTAGTAAATTAAATCTAGTAATTTTCAAAACATCCAGCACGACATTTTACATTCTTAAGGATAATTGAAACGATTTTTTTTATTATATAAAAAACACACCTGTAGTACAGAAAAGGCAATGCCGATGTACTCTTAGCTTTCATTTCTTTCTTCTTTAATTTTCTTGGCACCCAAATGGCATCAAGTACTAGTACTAGTGTTCTTCTTTACAAAATCTATGTACTACATCTTTTACCAACTGTTTGACCCTCACCTGGACCTACCTGATAGATATAAACCAACAATTATCATAAACATACTTGAAGCATTGCCCACATTCACATATTGTTAATTGATATGCAACTGAACCTTCTCTGATATAACATGTCCACCAAACAATGGCTCAATGATAATCACTATTAATTTGCATTCTGTGGGGCATACCCTACAAAACTGCTCTAAGTTTAAAGCTCACAAAAGAGGTGGTTAAATATTGTAATTTATCCTACAAGAGAAGGGCTTAGGTGGAAATGCTTGGTCTCAAAGCACACCAAAAGCATCTTCTATTTTTCCACAGTTTGTTTCTTTATTGAGTAACTTGAAAGTATATTAAATCCACATGAAATTAAACTACAACATTAATGTGTTTTTATTTAATATATGTATTGGGCTCTACATATATACCACCATACTTCCATGAAACTTCTATCACTCTCTCTCTCACTTCTCTGATTCTTCTCATTTTATTCATCACCAATCCAAGACCAAATATGGCTGTTTTCACTCCACACACAGTCTTCTCTCCAACTATGTTTATTCTATTATCAATGGTGATTTCACTGTCAAAAGCCACACTCCATGTTGATTATTATCGTCAGACATGTCCAAGAGCTGAGAATATTATCTCAGAGACAGTTCATAAGGCTTCTGCACGTGACCCTAAAGTCCCAGCTCGAATCCTTAGAATGTTCTTCCATGACTGTTTCATAAGGGTATCACATAATTTCTCTCTTTATATGACTGTGTGTGTGTGTGTTTACTGAAATGGTGAAATTGGTATGTAATGTTAATGTTGAGTTATATATATATATATATATATATGGACAGGGATGTGATGCCTCACTTTTGCTGGACTCAACTCCGGGAAACAAAGCCGAAAAAGATGGTCCTCCCAATAAATCACTAGCAGCATTCCATGTCATCGACGAGGCCAAAACTAAGCTCGAAATGGCATGTCCACGTACAGTTTCTTGCGCTGATATAATCGCAATGGCAACTAGAGATGTAGTAGTAATGGTAATACATATATTAAGTCTTCTAGCTTATGGGTATTTCAGTCATTTATCAATCAAATTTTTCGAGAACATATGGTCTCTTTGCTTCATTTTGTCAATTTGCACATAGTATATAATTGGTATTTCAATCTTGAATAGTCCAAATTTGGGAAAAATGGACACCATTCACCATAAACATGATGACCATGTTTATATGCATGTGTGTTGTCTAATATGTGTCTGTCAGTAACACAATCAGAATGTCACTTTGTGCAAAATAATATGAAATCCGTAGTAAATTCTTTTTATTTTCTTTCTATTGATCACCATCTCATTTGTGTTAATTAACATTTGTGTTATTTTATTTTTATTTATTTATTTATTTTTAGAATGGAGGTCCAAATTGGAATGTACTCAAAGGAAGAAAAGATGGAAGGTTGTCAAAAGCCAGTGAGACTAGCAACTTACCATCTCCATCTCACAATGTGACACAACTCATTAAGAACTTTTCCAAGAGAGGTCTGCAAGTCAAAGACTTGGTTGCTCTGTCCGGTGGCCACACACTAGGGTTTTCTCACTGTGCTTCGTTCGAAGCCCGGCTCCGTAACTTCAGTTTGGGGAGTGACATTGATCCCACGATGAACAAGGACTTTGCTCTAACCCTAAGGAACAAATGCCCGAAACCAAACAAGGATCGGAAGGCGGGAGAATTCTTGGACTCAACTCCATCAACTTTTGATAATGTCTACTACAAAAGAGTTGTAGCTGGTAAGGGCGTGTTTGGATCAGATCAAGCATTGTATGGGGATTTGATGACTAAATGGATTGTAGAAGCATATGCCAGAGATCAACGTTTGTTCTTTAAAGAGTTTACTGATTCAATGGTGAAACTTGGAAATGTAGGGGTTATTGAAATTGGTGAAGTGAGAGTGAAGTGCCGAATTGTGAATTGAGTGAGAGAGAGAGAGAGAGAGAGAGAGAGAGAGCCAAATCTGTCTTTTGTTTTCCATTGCCTTTAGAAATAAGAGTTCTGCTATTTGTATCAAAATTATGTCTAATTAACCTATCCAAATTTAATTGGTTGGTTAAGTAGTATTAAAGTGGGGAATTTATTTATTATTATTATTATTTTTTCTCTCTTTTGGTGGTGTATTTAAGTAGGACTTTTTAGAGCACTTCATGATTTACCATCAAGCATTCTGCAGTACAATATAGTCCACTCATCTCACATGCAGCAAATAATTACTCCAAAAATGCCTTAAAGACGACCCTAGGAGAATTCCAACACAAAATTTATCCTTAAATTTAATCAGCTCGCCCACTCTAACTATTTCTTTTTCTTTTTTCAACGTTTATAGCTCAAAACTTATAAGAAGTTCTTAATATATAATCAAGTCACTCACTCTAACTATTTTTTTTTTTCTTTTTCTTTTTTCTCCGTTTATAGCTCAATAGGATCAATTGAGTCGCCGTTACTATATGTTTTTTATGAACTTCGACCAATTGCTTTTTTTTTTTTTTTTGGTATTTTATACTTTGTTATTTATTTATTTATTTATATACCTATAAAATTTAAATTTTGCTCCCTCAAATTATAGAAAATTTTTACTATTGCCCCATTCACATACTTTTCTGAATCCGTCCTGACTCCCCTATTAAGGTTCTGATACTCAACCTTCCTTTTAGAGAGAAGATATCATAACATTAATTTGGACTATTCTTAACTATATCCTTATCTCAATCTATATTAATATTAGGAAGAAAAAAAAAATCTATATTAATAAGCTAAAAAAGTTGATATTTTGATATTTTAATAAGCTATAGAAGGGGTAATGAAAGTGAGATCGAGAAAAAAAGGGACACATGCCTAATGTTTGATATTTTTGCACAAAATAACGAGAAGAGAGACACGTCTAAACTTTGATATCTTTTTACACTAAATAATTTTTTAGATTTGAAACCATATATATATATATATATATATATATATATATATATATTCACAGTTATATATATATATATATATATAACTAAAGCAATAGCTATTATTTATAATGTTCCATATACATATAAACAAGCACTTATTCATGACATTGAATTCTAATTGTTTATAGGGCGCAGCACAAGTGACAGGCATGGGGGTTCCTTTTGGGCTGTAATTTCCAAGTCAAAGGATACATTTCACATGTTCTTAATGAATAAGCTCAACAATGAGCCAACATTTTCACATGCAAGGTGAGTGAAATTTTCATATGGCTTCAACCATTTCTACATATTTGCAATAAATAAATAAAAGCACCATCAAGTTGTAACATTAGTAACATGTGAATTTTCGAAAAATCAAATCAAATAGTTGCATGTGATTCAAATCATAAGAGAATGGGAAAATGAACATTAGTCCAGATCGTATGATGCTTTTAATTTAAAAGAAATAAAGTGAGAAAAACACTCTTTAAATAATACCTTTAACATTTATTTTAGATATATAAGTCCGTATATTTTAAAAAGTGGGCAAATAAGAGCTTAATTCATATAATATGTCAGAAAATCACATTTAAGTAATCACTATATTAAGTAACAAATTTCCTAAACTTCCTTTTTAATCTCCCCAAAATGCCTTTATACCATTTTACGTATAACCATACGATGTCGTTTTTGGTTAGGATAATTTAGATCATTTTTCTTTCAAATACATAAGGGTGCCACTTTAGTCTTTTTATTGCTTCATTGACCATAGGCCCTTATTCGTACTAAAAATAAAGATTAGGGACTTTTAAGAACTTATAGGGGGTTATATACCCTATTTGCATACTATATAGGTGTTTATCGCTTGTGACCCTTCTAAAAAAGACTTTGGGGGTTTGATTCCTGTTAAGGACAATATTGTAAGTGTGTATGTGTTTGCTTGAACTTTAAGGTGGCATATATGTATATTTTTTTTATTAGTGTAAGTATATTTTTTTTCCATGTAAGGTGAACACGACACCCATCACTGGACTCAAATGCAAAATTTCCGTGTTTTTTCTGGTATAAATGAGAGAAAATTGAATAGAATGTATATCGGAGAAATGTAATTTTTTTTTTTTTATTAATTGCCTGACAAGGATGGGGTGAGTCAAATTTGCCACACAACTCAGGAAAGCCTAGAATGGAAATTAGGAGGGAAGGGAATTATATTGTATGATTTGAATATTATATCATTTTAAAATTAAATAGGAAATTTTTGTTAAAGTGTAAGAAAAAAAAAATCTATTTTTCTCCTTTCCTCGCACTTTTGGGAGGAAAGCTTGTATGAAAGAGACCTCTGGAATTTTCCTCCCAACTTTTCTCGAGGCACTTTTCTCTCCTATTAAATAAATATAAATTATTATTACTATTGGGAGCCTAATAAATTTTTATCTTGATGAGAAATTTTTCCAACCCAATACATTCTTTTAATACTCATTAAAAGATGATGCATCGTCAATTTATAACCATTTTTACATAATGATAAAAATTCCACATTATTATCTTAAACACGGTTTGGTATGAATAGTGGATTTGTGAATATTGTAGTGATGAAAAATGTGTCTTTAAGAAAATAAATCCTCTCTCTCATATAATTTAGTTGAGCAAGAAAGAGAATGCAACATATCTAAGATTTGACTCTCTTAGTGTAATTGATTGTTTGAGGTCACGCTCACCAGTGAAAGTTCAAATTCTACCAATGCTTTACACGATGTTACGATAATTTAGTCTAAGCAACGGCCCCAATATCCCCATTACCTAAAAAAAAAAAATAAAAAAACATATTTGGATATTTGAAGATTACTGAATAGACGAAATTTATGTGTATGGCATGTAAAATAATCCTTTATCTAATGTAAGGCCACCCCTATAATAGGAGTAATTTTCACTATTTTATTTTTTAACAGAAGAAAGACACAAAAGAGGCAAAACAAGTCAGATTGTGCACCAATGGGCAAAACCAGCGCAGTCATTGATGGACCTCATGAGCATAGGTGAACCCAAAAAACGACGCGAAAACACTTTGTTTATTGAATGGATCACTTCCGGATCCAGAAAATTTCGGCCCGAGGGGTTGGGGGAAAACTTATTTAGTGGGTTTATTTTTATAAATTTAATAGAATTTTTTTCATAAATTTTAAAAAATGTACAAAAAAAAAAAAAAAAAAAAAAAAAAAAAAAAAAAAATTCACTAGGATGAATTGTAATTTTAGTGGGGACATCTTCATAAATTCTCAAATAAATAAATAAATAAATAAAAAATAATAATAATTCAATTGGAACGAATTGTAATTTTAGTTGGGACGTCTTTATAAATTTAAAAAAAATTGAGGTATAAAATAAAAATATTAAAAATTCTGTGTGGGCGGTCTTATGTTAGGTTCGTGCCTATCCACTTCTATGATTTTTTTCTTTTTTTCCTATGTTAGGTTCGTGCCTATCCACTTTCTTGCAAGACAAAAATTGTTAGATGTTATAATCGAAACTTGACACACCCCAAAGTCTGCGGGAGCCACTAATTCACTCTAATACCATGACACCTGCTTGTTTTGAAGTGAAATAAGTGTTAGTTTAGTTACCATTATTTATTGAATTAATTTGCCAAGAATTTTTTATTTCTCTATTCTTATTTGTAAATAACTTTACTCGAGTAAAACTCACAAAAAATTTCTCTCATTACAATAGTCATGAGCTACTTTTAATCACCGGAGATAGATATACATATATATAAAGTCAAATGTATCTTCCAGTAAATTTCTCAATTCAACGGTAACAAGAAGACCTTGTCACTCTTTTAGCAAAAGAACTCCCTTGATAGCGTTGAATTGAGTGACGTGTGTGAGCAGAAGACACCCGACAAGCTTATTTTAGTTCTCTCTTTCCCTGTAGCAATTCGTTACATGAATTGTATTTAGATTTTTAAAAACGTTAGAAGAAAAAGACCGTTTTTTTCCTTCCAAAAATGAAAGGAAACAGAAGATGAAAATAGGAAGACCCATTTGAGTACCAGGCTTCTATTTTTCAAAAGGAGGCCAAGGGTTCGAACCTCGTAAAGACGTGTGTATGAATATTAAGAAAAATTATCATTTCCTCTGTCTACACTACATTTTGAAAACACTTGCCAAAACACACATGTATAGGAGTATCTTATTTATTTTCTTTCCTATAACAACTAATGATTTTTCTAATTTCTTTTCCCTCCCAAATTATCAAAACTAATGATCCAAGGCATGTAGTTTTAGTGATGCCTCCAGTCCTATCAACAGCCTTCATTGGATATAAATTTCTAAGAAAATCCTAGTCCTATTCCTTCATGTATTTTGTTTTCTCCTCATAACTAAAACGGAGCTCACTAAGTGCATTTCTTTCATGCGGTAAATCAACATTGAAGCAGCCACACACAAGCTTATAAAACACTAATACCAACAAGAATAACAAAACAAAAGCTTATAAAACACTAATACCAACAAGAATAAACAAAACACAGAGAGTGCGCATTTATGTCATGTGGTAAATCAACATCGAAACAGCCCTGCAAAGCTAATAGAACACTAATACCAACAAGAATAACAAAACAGTCACAGACAGAGAGAGCAAGAGAGACTGAGTGAGGATGAAAATGAAATGTCTGCTGTTTAAATAGCTGGAAGATATCATGAAAGAGGACAGAGTCATACTGTTATGTATCGATGATATTCACGAGAATATTCACAGCAAAAATGAAACCTAAGGAAGACCTTGTGCTAGGCAATGTCACAGCTGAAATGCTACAGACAAACCAAACTGACAAAGTTTCTCACTATATATATGCACAATCTTATCTTCATGAGGCAACAATGTTGCCCTTAGAATCAAAGGGTCTTTTCTACAAACCGAAAATGGGCAAGCCACATGTGCTCTCTCTTTTCTACCTTATACTGCTTGCGGCTTCTGTTATGCGCTGCCATTCCCACGAGAGGAAGGTATAATGGGTTACCATATTTTGCTTTCTGTCAAACAATTCTCAAAAAGATTATGCAGGCATTAATGAGTGCATTATACTAAAAACCTGCTTCAATAGGTGCCACATTAACGTAATTAGCTACACCGTGCTCTTGGTCCCTAAATGTTTAATGCCTAGCAT